ATTCGGGTCAGTTACTTCTCCCTCCCTGAGCCTCAGTTTCCCGCTTTGTACACATGACTCTCCATTACTGGCCCCGGGGGGTAACAGAAGGGCTGCTTGGAGATGTGCTGTGTTATTAATGTGATGGGGGGGTGGGGGTGGGAATCTACTCTCCTGACCACAAATGTCTTTTACAAGCTGTAATGTACCAGGATGCTGGGATGTTTGTTGTGATGACAGTGCTGCACTGCTGCAAGCAATGGGGAAATATTCTGTTCTCACTGTTTTTTTTTGTCTTCTTTAGGTTTTGTTTTGGGAGGAGCATTTGGTGTATTCACAGCAGGCATCGATACCAACGTAGGGTTTGATCCCAAGGATCCCTATCGTACACCAACCGCAAAAGAAGTCCTTAAAGATATGGGGCAACGAGGGATGTCCTATGCCAAAAACTTTGCCATTGTGGGTGCTATGTTCTCCTGTACTGAATGCCTAGTAGAGTCTGTAAGTAGTCATCAGAAATGCTTTCATTCTTTAGAAACCCTTGACATGTGTGTTCCTAACTACCTTGCTCTTGAGCTACACTAAAGCGACCTTGGGTGATGGAAAAAAGCTCGAGGAGGAAAATGAAGCACACCTAGCCTGTTGGTTTTCAGTGTTTTCCAGACTCTGATTCCTTGTTATAACAAAAAAAAGTACAGAACCACCCTCTTCATCATTTCACCACAGAGGAAAAAAGGGAGGCTCATTGCAATCCTGTTAGGGCACACTTGGTAACAAAGATCATTCCAGTTCCAGAGCTGGATAAATATATGGGTCATTTTGGGGACTATATTTTAAAGACTAGCCACCCTTTTTAAAAAATAAAAAAATCTCAGTATCAGTTACCCATAATTATTTCTGCCTGTAAAATTTTAGAAGCAAAAAGGAGGTTAATTTTGGATCATGTCCTGGATCTCATTTTGTAGCTAGAGAGCAAAGTGACCTTGCTTATCTCAATGCTAAAACTTTTGACTTTAATATTTCCTTAGGAATAAGGCAACAAGTTTCTTTATTTTAATTGGAACATGTAATTAACTCATATAGAAGAATAAGGGTATGTCTACATGGTAATAAAACACCCACAGTTGGCCCTTGTCAGCTGACTCAGGCTCACGGGGCTACTGCATTGTAGACAGTTGGGCTTGGGTTGGAGGCTAGGCTCTGGGACCCTCTCCCCCTTGCAGCATTCCAGAGCCTGGGCTCCAGCCTGGATGTCTACACTGCAGTTTTATAGCCCCACGGCCCAAACCTTGCAAGCCCGAATCAGCTGATACAGGCCAGCCACTGGCGTTTCATTGTGGTGTAGATGTACCCTAAGTGTCTTAGGGAATACTCCCCCTTCCCCCAAGAAGTCTCATACCAAAGGTCAATGTTGCTCGCTGCTGGAGAGTTAGGGACAAGCACATTCAGCTGTGAGTCAAGGGGAGTGGAGGAGTGTTTTTATTCTCAAAAACTAACATTCAGTAGCTATGCTAATAGTTCCATGTGCACTTTTCTATTGTGACTCCATTGTGTTTCTCCATTCCGCAGTATCGTGGAAAATCAGACTGGAAGAACAGTGTTATTAGTGGGTGCATCACTGGAGGAGCCATTGGCTTTAGAGGTTAGTAGCACTTACTTTAAACTGTTTGTGTGCTAGCTCTGGCCAGGACTGCCCGCTACATGGATGTACTGCAAGCTGTTCTAGACATCCCAAGTGCAGAACACTTCCACAGAGTATTAAGGGGGCATCACCATGGAACTTGTAATGGTTCAAAATGAGTTAAATTAGCATTAGGTGCTGCATCTGCTTCCCTGTTAATTGGTGGTTATATAATATTTTGCTGTCATCTAAAATGTTTTACTTTCTCCTGTGGTTTGAAAGACCCACACAGACCCGGAGGGCTGATTGTATAAGAGATACAGTGAAATGGACTATACACAAGCATCAGTCAAATGGAAAAATGAAACATTTTTATTCAAAGTTTTCCGAGTAACTTTGGGTGTTATTACACTTGGATAAGATATAGAATAACCACTCAAACCGAATATTGCAGAGGAAATACCACCAGCAGCTGGCACCCCAGAGTGAGTCTAACTAGTAGCCATCAGAATGGGGCTTAGTCCAGCACCAGGCACTGCTTATCACCTGGGCTCTTGGCAAGAACCCACCAAATGCTCCTTTGTTAGGAACATGCATGGAAAGGGGAGCTGTGGTTGTGCTGAAGCACAGGGTTGTGGTGCTTTTCAGCAAAGTGGGCGTTCTTCCTTCTTTTCCCTTCCTCAAAGAGCATTAAGGGAAGCAAAGAGCTCTAGAAAGGGCTTCTAATTAAGTCTATTATACGGTGTCTGGCCTGGACCTAATCCTTTTAGAGCTCTTAAAGCAGCTGCTGCCCTTCTGTCCCCATCATACTGTGTAGCCACCATAAGTCACCTGCAGTGCTGAGATCAGAGCCAAGTGAATCCAGCCAACTGTTGAAACAGCCATTGCATCGGAGCTGGCAATATTCATTTGCAGCCCTTCAGAGGCAGAGAAACCATAACAAAGCTCAGTTAGTTCAGCACGCAGGCCCAGCCCTTGTGGTTCCAAGTGCAGCGTGTGCCAAATTCCTGGGATCCATTTAAGTCCCCTAATCCAATTAAAATTGGAGTGCAAGATTTTCTGCATGGAAAACTCTGCAATCCTGGGACCTCTTCAAGGCCAGCAGCATAAGCCAGTAAATGGGAAGAAATGCAGGGCGTTTCTAATTCTCCCCCTTCCCTTTTTGCATTGCAGCTGGTTTAAAAGCAGGGGCCATTGGCTGTGGTGGCTTTGCGGCATTCTCGGCAGTGATTGATTATTACCTACGGTAACAGCGCAGTCCAGTGGGGAAGTTTCACTTCTGTTCCAGTGCCGCTGGTAAGAGCTGTGGGTTCACCAGACTTACTTCCTTGCCTTTGGAGTGGTGATCAGAGCAGGATGGTGCCTGCTGTTTCCTAAATGACTGATAATCATTTCACCCCTGGCCCTGGCAGGCTGATCTCATGCCCCGGCGCTGGAGTTCCTTGGAATTGAGCCAGGCTTTTGGACACACAGTGGTCAGTGTCATCATTGGAATGGATAAACTGTCAGTTTCCAAGAACTAAGCCTCTTCTTGCTAAGCCTTCCGGATCCTTTGGGGTCTGACTTCTGGGGAGTGTTTTGCTGGTGTTGAAAGAGGCAAGCTGTCAGGATCTTGATAAATAAATGCAGCAAGCTGGGTTGTCACAGTTTGCTGCGAACATTTAACAGTAACGGGTTTGCAACTTGCTGTTTCTACCCAACAGAGCAAGACCTTGTGGGGGAAAGAATAACTAATTCCAGGCATTTCTTAATACCCGCTGGAGAGTACCTACCCTCTGTGTAATGTTTTAAAGCCCAACTAAATAGGAACCAACTTTCCTTACCATATCTTCAAGAGAACCAAGTGAAAAGGCGTTTTACCTAGTGATGTGTGTGGCAGCTCAGTCACTGGCAACATGTCAACAAAACAATTTAGGAAAAAGCAGCTTGTTGACAGAAGTATAATATTATATGGCAAGCCTGTCTAGCTAAGCTAATCTCACTGTAGTAATACAGCCAGTGATAAGCTACTGCTTCATCTGCCATTGGATCAAAAAGTTAGTTCCAAAAGTTGTTTATAGACTAGAAAGCCATTGCATTAGAACGGTGTCAGGAGCTTCATAGTTACGTAGCAGCACACACTCCTTTACCATGATGGAGCTGCACCAATTTCGCATGCTCTGTGGTGCTGGCTGTTACTAGACACTGTATTATTGTGCACTAGAGCTACCAGCTGGACTGGAGTATGACTTTAGGCCATATTTCAGACTGATTTCTGATTAAATCATGCACGAAGTTTCTCTCACACTGGGTTGGGGGCTGCTGCAGTAAATGCTAGTTAGCGGCACGCTGCCAGGAGGTACACGTTAACAGGCTCTTCCAAAGGGAGACTGAGGTTTAAGGCCATGCTGGGTATGCATGCTAAACAGCTGTGAGCAGTCTGATGCCTTACACCTTCTCAACTAAGCCTGGCTGTGCAGAGCTGTGGCTGAAAGTGGCATTCCTCTCTCATTGAATGTAGAGGAAGATGTTAAGCCTGGGACCACTGCAGGGTGTTATGGGAAGTGAGCAAAGCTGGAGTCAAGGTCAAGTGTTACTACAGCATGCAGCAGGATGGAGGAGACGTATGCTCGGGTTAAGTGTGTTTAGCTTTCCAAGTGGTGCTGAAAGGGCTGGTCTTCCATCGCTTCCGGCTTCCTCAATGGGCTTATCCGTAGTGTAGGCATAGTTGACTGTTCATTAGCACCCGTGAGTTCTGGCTGCCACATTTCTAAGACAGCTGATCCCACACCTTAGCCCAAACATGGTTAGTTTGGTAGGCTCAGGCCTGCTTAAGCTGGTATTAACCTGGTTTGCCTTTATGAATGGCTCAACCGCCACTACTCTCCAAAGTGGTCTATAGCCTGGGCTCCTGAGATGGGGGGGTTCCAACTTCCCGTGTAGGCCCCTTGGTGAATCATGGCCACCCATTCACAGGCTGCTGACAGCCCTGGGGTAATGACAGCCAGTGCTTACATGGAATGGCGAGAGCAGCAGCAGGGTTTTAGCTGTGCTTGAGGAGTGTCCCTTTTGTAAAGGGAAACCGTGCTGTCTTCCACCCATGTGTCCCCACAATCAGCTGGAGGGGCGGGAGCCAGCCCCATGTGAGCTCTCAGGTTGCCAGAGCAGGCTGGCTAGTGTTCTCAGCAGTGGATCAGTGACACAGCAGTCAGCAGCTGGGCTCTGCAGCATTACTAGTAAGATGGCTCCTTGCTGTAGAGACCTGCCTGCCCAGCAGGAGCAGCGTGTGCGCTTGGGCCTGGGAGAGCCATGCAATAACTAGCAGGATTTACACGGCAAGGGGGGGAATTGAAAAGGCAGCGTGTGTTGGGGATAACCAGCCTGCTGCCTCTTGATGCAAACAGCTACACCACAGAGCTACTTTTTGTGCAAACGTCAGGGCTTTGCATTTTATTAACATTTTTTCACATGGTTTACATCCACTGAAAGTTTATAATCTACAGAAGTTGAAACAGAACACAAACAAAAAATAGATCTTAACTTAGTAAAAGTCAAATATGAATGAACCGTTCTATTCTACCTGTAGCCATAAGAGTCCGACACCTCCCACCCCGCTGTAGGAAAAATGAAAACACAGCCCATGCGATTGCCACAGTTTGTGCAGGGGGCTGGTCTCCAGCCCTTTGAACTGGCGTGAGGTGGGGGCGGGCCATAGTCTCCCTTTGAAATGACACCACAGTTGACAGATGTAGGTACATAAAACACACAGGGGTCCATTGTGCAGTTAGATCTTCGCTCAGCCCCATTATCCAGGGCAAAGTGTGACACCTGGTCAGTGTGTCCAACGCCATTTCTCATCTGCTCTGCCAGCAGGCCAGCGGTGGGGGCTGGAGTGTAAGCCCTTTAGACTGACATTGCCAGACTTCCCTCTCCCTTTAGCTGCTTCAGTGCTGTGGGGCTAGCAGCTGCGTTCAGCCCCCCTGAAGCTGGTCTTTAGGGCATGCCTGGTGCTTTCAGCACGTGGAACAGCAGTTAAAGGCAGCGCTACTGCTACAAGGGATATGCTTGGTCACCCCAAATAAACCAGCTGTCCATTGGCATTTGGCACAGAGGGTGTGGGGGCAGTGGGCGGGGCTTTCCCCCCCCAAGAACAGGGGCTCAGTGGTCAGAACAGGCAGGGTGAGTTTCCTTGGCAGGTCCCAGCACCTGTCTGTGGGCTCCGGGCATGGGGGCAGGTTGGGGTGCTCTCAAGCTATGAGAGCAGGAGCCCACAGAAGAGCGAACACAAAAGATACAAGTGTTTGTCTGTGGGGCACGTCCCAGCCAGCAGGTGGAGCCATCACTGCCTTGCCACAAGGGCTGGAGGGAACCAGCTGGGGGGCAGCTGTCCCAGCTGGCTGAATGGATCAAGGGATGTGCTTTAGCTTCCACCATGTCAGGCTGGTGGAACGAGGGAGGGCCACATGGGGAGAATCCAGCTCCTGTTCCAAGCACACAGGGCTTTCCCCTTCCAGCCCCGTCTCCATGAGGCTCTGCCCTCCGAGTTCACTTTCAGCTCAGAAGCGGTTTACCTTGGTGCAGGAAGGAACAAAAACCAGCCTCCTGTTGTCCTGCAGCCTCCTGCGGTGTTTACAAGGGACCGGCCTGCGTGTGGCTGGGTGGCACCAAAGCAGAGCCTGGCTCCCTCCCTCCCCTGCGCCTGGTTCTCAGAAGGGTAGCGCAGCGGAGACGTTGCCCAGTGCAGCTCCTGGTGGGAAGAGGCCCCCCCGGTTAATGCTGGGGAAGGAACCCAAGTGCCCTGTTACACTGTGCTGCTGCCCAGTCTCCATTAGCCGACTGCCGGAGAGGAACGGGTGCTAAGGCATTGCATTGACGAGGGATGTGAGACTTTCGGGACAGTCACTCCCTCGCGCTGCAGTACTGAGGGCGTTCTCCCAGCGGATCACTCCAGCAGATGTGCTTCGGGGAGCTCCTGGCGTAACCTCGGCCGTACCGAACGGCCCCGGAGACACAGCCAGGGGCTAGAGGCTAGTCAGTTTGCACACCCAGACGGAGGCGGGGTAATAGTGGTAGCGTAACGAGACAGCCCTTTCTTCTTTCCACACTAGCCTGCCAAAGGCACCTCCACCCCCTCCTAGAGAGCAGGTTACCCCCAACACTACACAGCGGGAGGAGAACAGCAGGGGGATAACCACAGCGTACACAACAAACAGGCAGAAAGCACAGGCCACGGGCCCTAGAAGATGAAGTCATAAAGCACCTGGAACGGACGTTAAAAAGCTCCCTTCCTCCCCCCACACACTCTTGTGGCCAAAGGTTTGCTCCAAGAGGGAGCAGAGTCCAGATGCAGAGTCCTCCATTCACATGGCCAGCAAGGCAAAGTGGAGCTTGTTGTCTTGATGGGTAGAAAGGGGGAGCCCTTCTCAGCCTCTGAAGCAAGAGAGGCCAGCCAGCGCTGCACATGCACGCACGGGGGACCAGGCAAAACAAACAGGCACTGGTGCAATGCTGCAGGCTTCGAGCGGGGTGAGCCGAGGGGACGTTTGGCTGAAGCTGGAGAGGGCGAAAGGAAAGTTGCAATGGCCTTCGAAGGAGCCTGGCAGGAAATGAACGAAGCGAGGAGCCCGCGGCCCTTGTCAGTCACTACCTCTTCTGTCGAACGAATATACATAAAACAATTCCTGACCACGAAGGTACGTAAGACACGACTACTAGACAGAGGGCGCGCAGGGCCAGGGCCAGGGCCAGGGCTGGAGGGCACTGTCCTGGGGAAGTGCCCGTCTCCCCGCAGGGGCGAGGCTAGTCTGTGCTGTACCCCACGCTCCGGGAGGCTGGGTTCGTGTGCGGCTGGTGCCTTCTCAGCGCAGGCTACACGTCTGTGGAGAAGTAGAGTGTGTTGCGTTTCAGCTCAGCGAAAGAGATGGGAGGGTGCTGCAGGTAGTAAAGGAGAACCTGGACCTGCAGGGGACAGAGGAGAGAGTCAGGGCTGGGCACGGAGCTGGTGAGGGGACAGAGCCGCCAGTCCAGCCCCTGCCTCCAGCCATTAGAAGAACCTTCACGTGGGAAAAGCGGGGAGAGGGGACGAGTCTATCCATGAAGGTGACTAAACCCAGCCCTTCTCTCACAGGGCAAACCAGAGCCAAACAAGGGCTGGTTAATGTACGGCACACCGAGCTGAGGGGCCTGCTCCACGGCAGGTTTTTAACGCAGTAGCACCTAGAGGCCCACTCAGGATTGGACCCCCCCCCCGTGCCAAGTGCTGTACAGCAAACAAGGCAGCCCCCACCCCACTGCTGACTGGGGCACGTGTGCTACGGAGATAGCAGACACTACAAAACTCCCCAAAGCCAGCCACTGAACCCCGGCTCAGATTTACCCACACTGCATGGAACAGGCATCCTGGCTGAGACGGACAGAGCCGCCTCCCCCCAGGCAGCTCTGCACAGCTGGCCAGCGGCTTTCTGGGGCTTTCTAGGTCCAGAATCAGGCTGAGGCAGGAGACTGGTCCTGGGTGAGCCAATGGGCTGAGCTGGTGGCCGTCTGGTAAACAGCAGAACGGTCTCCCAACGGGGTGGCCTCTGCTGTTTCCCAGCCGGGCAGGAGGATCAGGTTGCCTTGCAGGGACATGCATGGAGACGCCTGCACCACGTGCACAGGAGAGCATGGACTGACGGCAACCAGAAACGTTCTGGGTTAGCCACCCTGCGGGGACAGCCAAGTTCAACACGGCAGGTCTGATGGTGCCGAGGCCAGCCCTGTGCATGAGCTAGGAGAACGTGCCTGGTGATAGGGGCTGCAGCTCTGCTCCGACACCCGGGGGACACCCTGTATGGTGTGAGCCGCAGCTCAGCGAGGGGAAGCACACGCACGGCCCAGGAGAGGGCACTGCTTCCCCAGGGCAGCGGTCGGCCCCCATACCTGTGCCATAACGTCGTGGGACCAGATGTCAGAGGCCAAGGTGAGGTGTCCTTTGCTCTCCACCTCGGAGGGTCTCAGCAGTGTTGGGCCAAAGACCGTGGCCAGGTTGTGAAGGGACATTTTGTTGATGGGCTCCTTTTCGGCAACCCTGCGTGGGGGGGCAGGGAGGGGGAGAGTCAGTCCACTGCAGAGGTGGATCCGGAGCCACCCCAGAGCTGCCCTCGCAGGCTGCCTGGCTGGGTGCCGGGCTCCCAGAGCCACTCACACTCCCCTGGACAACGCAGGGGAGGGGAGCAGTGAGCTGAGCTGCTCTCAGCCCCTTTCCAATCTGCCCCCACGGGCGGAGCACTGCCGGCCACAGCGTCTGTGGGGGACAGGCCGGGCGCACTGTAGGGTCTGTCCACCTCCCGCTGGAGACGGGACCCGATTCGCTGGATCAGCAGCCACCGGGGGTTGTGCTGCCAGCCCTGTGCTGCTGTCTTAGACAGTACGATGTGCCGGTGCCCCGTGAAAGCCCCCCAGCCCCACTCCCCCTGATGTTCTGCAAAGCCCTCCGGCGCCAGGGAAACTAGCATCACAACATTGCCGTCTTCGGAGGCAGCTGTGCTCCCCCAACACACGCTGAGTGCGGTCCAGGGACCAGATGTGCCCAGTTCTCAGGCTGGAAACCAACCAGCCTTTCCCAGCAGCTCCTTCGCTCGCTCGCTGCCTGCCCCCTCCCCCAGCTCACTCTGTTCCCTGTGTGATCTTAAATAAACCAGAGAGAAAAATGCCTCCTGACGCAAGTAACATGAGACCTCGAGCCCACATCCAGCTTCCCCCGCGCCGTCTGGCCAGCCCTGTGCCTGGAGCCAGAGCCCAGAGCAGTTCTATGGCCTCGGCAGCAGGAGCCGTACCCACAACTGCCCCTGCCAGGGGCACTAGCCGCTGCGCCCCTCCCACCGCCCCGCTTTCGCAGAGCTCAGACACGGCAGCAGGAACTCCAGCGCCCATCTCGGAGCAAGGGCAGTGACCACGAACCACTGTCGCTTTGGAAGGCCCGAGAACTGCCCTGGACGGATCAGTGCCCTGCCCACAGCTCTGCCATGAGGGGGCTAGAAGGGGCCAGGGAAGCGGGGACGTTTCTGCCTGAGCTGAGCGATTAAAATCCCTGCCAAGCCCGACTACCAACAGCCACATTCCAGGGCTGCCAGAGAGCTCTGCGGGGGGACTGGAGTGCCGGGAAAGGCCACACAGATCACCAGGAGCTGCCAAAGACCCAGCTCCAGCTCTCCTCCACCCAGTGCCAGGAGAGAGGCGCCCCCAGAGCTGACAGCCAGCGAGCGCTATATTGAACAGCGCAGAGAAGCTAGCCCAGCTCTTGGAGAACAGCCCCAACATCATTGCTGCAGAGCTGGGGCTCAGTGCCCGGGTCCGAGCAGCCCCACCGCGTGAGCATCCTCCCCGGGGCTGCGCTCCCCAGGGCGTCACTAGGGCTGCTGGGCACTGCAAGCCCAGCCGCTCGCGGGTTCTGTCCTAGAACGACGGCCTCCTGCACAACGCAGCACGCGGGCAGCCCCATTCCTGTGGGGAGAAGAGCCCAGCGCATTCTCTGTCCCGTCCCCGGCCAGGACTGGCGGCCCCAGTGTTACCTTTTCAAGTGTTCCAGCAGGAAGAGGAAAGTGATGAGGTTGGGGTCGGGCAGCGACCGGAGAAGGTGCATCATGCAGTTCTCCTTGGCGGCGGGATCCGAGAGCGCTGGAGACAAGGAGAGAGCTCAGCCCGGGCTGGGAGGACCCTGCAAGCACTGAGCAGCCCCGAGGCTTCCCGGAGCCCACGAGCCCCGGTTGAGTCTGGCTGGGAGCCCCTGGCTGGGGGTGTGCTGGGGTCACTGGAATGACTCTAAACCTCTCACCTCCAGGCAGGAGCCTGCCTCCAACTAGCAGCCTGTCCCACAATCACCCACCGCAGAGGTCTGGTGCGGGACCCTGGTCTGACCCCTGGTGTCTCAGCAGGAACCAGCCCTCCCAAGAGCAGGCTGTGGAGTGGGGGGGGCAGGAGGTTACGGCGATGGGGCAGAGGATCCAGTCTCAGGAGCCAGCCAGGCCTCCCTGCATGGCCCGGGGCAGCACGCGTCTGACTTCCCAGCAGAGTGCTGGGGTTTGGGCTGTTTCCATCCTGCTGCAAAGCCCCCAGCACCTGCTGGGGTCTGGAGCTGCGGGCTCAGCTTACCTATCCCCTCCATGAAAGCAGGGTACAGTCGGTCTGTGAGGAGGGGCTCGGGGAGCTCGCGGAAGTACAGCTTCAGGGTGCCCGCGATGGCGTTGATGTCCATGTCGCTCAGCATCACCAGGATGTCCTTGTTATCTGCCAGGGGAAACGCCCCAGACCATCAGGACGCCGGCCCGGCCCAGCCCAGCCCAGCCAGCGCAGCGAGCAGGCTCCTGAGTCCTGCCAGCTCCCCCAGTGCACTAAACTCTGGCACTCAAGGCTCTGGCCAGACACGCAGCTCTCGGGAGGTAATGCTGCCCAGTGGCTAGTGCATACCCCTCTCTCCAGCTGCGAATCAGTACTCACCTCGCTGACTGAGCAGTGAGGGGCTCTGCACACAAATGCAAAGAATGATCCTTCTCCCATTTCCTGCCCTAACCTGCTGCACAGTGCTCCTGTGCGCTGCCAAAGAGCTGCTGTGCTCCAGCCCAGAGGCAGCTGCAGGGCGGCAGAGGAGGAAGGGATTCCCGAGAAACAGCAGAGAGTGTTATTGCCGTGTTTGGTTCTGCGCCACACCGCCTCCTAGTGGTGGAGAGCGAAGGGGCTGGAACAGGGTTGTGATCTTTAATTCTGCTGCATTGAGCGTGAGCCATGGTGGTGCTGGGCCAGGGAGAGAAACGGCGGTACTGGCAGTGGCATAGCCAGCTCTGCTTTGCAGCCTGTTCTCAGACAAAGCTGAACGGGGAAGAGCTTGCCAACCTCTTGGGAGGTTCTCCTGGCTCTGTGCTTCCTTGAGAGCAGCCCAGCAGGGACGCAGATTGGAAGGAGAGCCCAGGGCAGGACAAAGCCAGGTTAACGATGGCTGTATTGATGTCCTCTGCAGAGGCACGGAGGAGAGCAGGGCTGGGGCTGGGAGCTGCCCGGTGTCTGTGGTTAGCTCGATCAGGGACTGTTTCCCCACAGCTGCCTCGCATGGAAGGGCAATACCACCATTAGCCTTGGTCTGGCTCGAATGTTGACACCACACAGCACATGTGCTCCCAACCGCAATCTCACAATGGGTCACTAAGCCCCTTCGCGGACACGTCTGCACATTTTTTACACCTAAAATCATGTTAACCAAGTCCCTGGTTTTCAGGCCGTTAGGATTCAAGGGAACGTGGAGCAGAGGGGAGCTGGCAAGGACTGGCTCTGCAGGGCTCAGCCGATGCGCTCCCCTTCCCAGAAGGGTTCTGGGCTCAGACCTCGCTAGCCATTTACCCCAGGGATCTCCGGCATCCAAGCAGAGGGACCGCTGGGCCTGCTGACTCCAAGCAATGGTGCAGGAGGACCCAGCTGTTCTTTCCACAACCAACCTGTGCCCCACCTCGCCCAGCTCAGCAAGATGTGCGTGTGCAGGATTTCAGCCGTCCCCGAGGGCAGCACTGTGAGCAGTGGCGGGGGGAGCCATTTCCCTGTCACTTACTTGCATCGAAGGCTGCCTTCAGCGCCTGGATGTCCGTGGCGACCCCCGAGATCCGGTAGATGCCGACCTCCTCGATGCCTCTCTTCTCCACCTCCTCGACGCACTGCCGCACAATGTACGGCACCTTGGAGCGCTCCCGCCTGGGGGTGGGACCAGAGCAGTGGGAGTGAGACATCCAGGCCCTGTGCCTGCTGCACCCTGCACTTCAAACAGCCACGGTGCCAAGCACACGGGGCAGGCGGTGGAAGCGGCACCCTCTGCTCTGGCAGGGGAAATCGCAAATCAGAGTGAAGGGGCAGGGGAGGGGCAAGAGCCCAGCCCCCCAGTCCCAGGCTGAGCCGTGGAGCAGAGACTCAGCCTCAGTTGAGGACGGGGACACACCTGCTCTGCTCCGGGGGAAGGGACGGGGACAGCCCGCGGTCCGAGCCGAGAGCAGCGCTGGGGTGCGGGCCGTGCACAGGGCTTCCTCGCACACGCAGCGGCAGGGAGGGACATGGACCCACTTGGCAGCACGTTGCTGACTCTGGCTTGAAGCCCATCGCTCAGGTTGGATGTGTTGTGGAGGCGGCACACGCAGGGAGGGCCCCAGCCCGGGCGACCCAGCGGCCTGCTCGTTTTGGGCCGAGGGGAAGGGAAGCGCCTCCGAGCTCGGGGCTGCACACGGGTCGCCCCCTGGCGCCAGGGACTTACTTTGTCACAACGCTGATTTTCACCCCGAAGACGCCGGTCTGCTTTTTGGACGGGGTCCTCTTCAGGCTCATGTCCCGGCTCGTGAACTTCATGGAGAACTCCACCTTGATCTGAGGGAGGCACAGAGGGCTGTCACCACAGCGTGTGGCACAGCCACAGGCAGGGACCTGGCCCAGAGGAGGGCAGGGAGCTGACTGACCCTGGGCAAGTGGGCAGCGATGCACCCTGGCCAGGTGTCTCCAGAGTGAGCTGGGAAGCCCGGCTCTCCTAGCCAGCGGGGGATGAAAGGGGGGAAGCCAGCGTGAGCCCGAGTGCAGGCGCATGGGCAGTACCCGACCCTCACCCCGAGAGAGGCCGCCCCTCGGATTACCTACCCCATTCATCTCAATCACGTCCATGTGCCAGTTCTTGGTCGGCACAGCCTGCGGGTCCAGCTGCGAGGAAAGAGAGAGTGTGAAATTCCCAAGTGCTCCCCTGGCCTGCACGTTAGACACAGCCCCACTGAATCCCGGGGAGGGGCGCTGGCCGTTGCGGGAGTGGAAATGTGCAGAACATTGCATCACTGGACTCTTCCTGCCCTATCATAGAAGATTAGAGTTGGAAGAGACCTCAGGAGGTATCTAGTCCAACCCCCTGCTCAAAGCAGGACCAACCCCAACTAAATCATCCCAGCCAGGGCTTTGTCAAGCCGGGCCTTAAAAACCTCTAAGGAAGGAGATTCCACCACCTCCCTAGGGAACCCATTCCAGTGCTTCACCACCCTCCTAGTGAAATAGTTTTTCCTAATATCCAACCTAGTCCTCCCCCACTGCAACTTGAGACCATTGCTCCTTGTTCTGTCATCTGCCACCACTGAGAAGAGCCAAGGTCCATCCCCTTTGGAACCCCCCGTCAGGTAGTTGAAGGCTGCTATCAAATCCCTGTCTTGACAAAGCTGGAGTTACGGCAAGGAAAGCTGCTGCCCAGCACTAGCTGGTGCCCACCCCGCGAGGTGAGCAAGTGCTACCCTTGCGTTACAGACGCAGAGACGGTGACCCAGAGGGGCCGCCGAGGGAGCCTGTGTTGAAGCTGGGATCAGCCCCCAGCATCCCTGGCTCCCCGGTCCACGCCCAGACTGCTCGCTGCCCCGGGGCTGGCTTTTGCCGCAGTGCAGCCAGCGGCACTTTGCAGCGAGCCCTTCTCTCCAGCCTCGGGGAGCAGCGAAAAGCCGCACCAGAGGCCACTCCGTTACTGCAGAGCCAGGCAGCCGAGTTTCCATCAATCAGGGCTATTTCTGGAGCAGTTTCATCAAACAGAGCGAGGGCACCTCCCAGGTCGCCGGGACTATTTATAACCCTGGGAACCATGGGCTCTGCTAGTTCCGGCCGTCCATGTAGGCTGGCTGGGCACGTGCTGGCCAGAGCTGTGCTGAGTTCCAAGCCCTCGCACCAGCGCTAGCTGCTCAGGTACTGCACCCAGGGCAGGGCCAGTGCTGGCGTGCCGAGCCTCCGGAGCCTGGGCGGTCCCATGGCTGAGGGGCTGCAGCCACTGCCCAGGCGAAGGGGGAAGCAGCAGTCCCATGGCAAGCGTGAGCACTGCGGTTTGGTTGCGCTAGCTTGCAGCACGGCGCACTGCTGCCTGCTAAGGGAAAGCCCGGGGCACAGAGCACCGGCAGGGAGAAGGGGGCCGTAGAAGCCCAGCCAGGGCTGGACAAGCAGCCCAGATGCCTCCTGTTTTCCAGCTACTCTCCTCATGCGGGTCCCGCAGCATCCAGCCAGGAGGGGGCAGCAGGTGGCTCCAAACCGCAGCAGGGAGGCGGCCAGGAGCTTAATGACAGATGGGACGGGGTGCAAATGTGGGGCAGGGTCCCAGGCCCTCCCCTGGACCAGATACTGTACCCCAGATTGAGTGTCTGCTGTGCTTTCCGCGGGAGGGGAGGAGAGGAGAGGGGAGGGGAGGAAGTCCTGGTCTCTCCAGGGGAGAAAAGATGGGAGAGCTGCAGGAGACCCTGGGCCCAGCACCATGGAGCCCCAGGCTGCCCGCTCCTCATGCTGCCTCCTCCAGCTCTTCCATGTGCGGGCCCGCTCCGGGACGGGGGGGGCAGGGGCTCAGCGAGGACATGCCAGGTAGCCTGGGCCCCCGGCTGGGATGATGAGCTCCAGATGTGGGCAAGCGCGCACGGCTGGTGGAACAGGCACCAGGGCCAAGGTGGCCGCAGAATGAGGGGTCACGCCCTGCCTACATTTTGGGGGAGCGGTGCCAGGGAAAGGGGAGGGATCTCCCAGGAGCTCTCCTGCCCCAGCACACACCAAGGGAGCATGGGCATCAGGTCAGGCATAGCAGCGTGCCTGGCCTATGGCTGAACCTGACTGCAGAGGGAGCCAAGGGCTGGTTAGTCCTCTCCTGACCTGCTCCGGGTCACCTCCGCTCCCAGCCCCAGGGCAGGAGCGGGCCCCTGCAGCAATCCAGCCAGCCTGGCAGGCTCCGTGACCACAGCACACCGATTGACTGGCGCCTAGCCATCAGAGCCATAATGCATCTGGTGAGCAGCCCCTGTGGGTGGGAGAGGCAGGGGCTTGGACCCTCCCCAGGGAAAGGGACGGGAGGGCTGGCCCGGATCTGGAGCTGCGAGGTGCATGAGCCTTTCCGAATATCCCGGAGCAGGGCTGTGCAGCACAGCCCACAGCTGCTGGGCCGGTCACGTGGTGCCTGGCTGAGCTAGAGCCCAGCTGTGCAGAGCTGCCTTCGCTCCTCAAGGACACGCCGCTTTCCTCTGGCATCTCCTGTCTCAGCAGAGGCTCCGGCGAGAACATGCTGTTCCAGTGAGGCTGGGAGAAGCAGCAGCCGCCACAGGCTTGCCAGCCCCCACCTCCCCTCCGCCCCGGAGCAGCCCCAGATGTCTCACAGGCCAAGCCAGGGTCCCTCCTGCTATGGCCACGCAGCAGGTGAACGGAGAGCGCCATGGCAACACTCTGAGAGGCACTCGGGTTGGCACCCCCCACCCACAGTACATAGGAACAGACAGGCTGAGAAAGCCGTGCCCCTGGGTCTGGGCTCTCCCCTTGGCCAGAGCAGTGGGGGCTGGGCCCAGCCAACCCATCCCTGCTGGGGCTGGCGCAGCAGGGGCCCGGGATGAGCCGGGCCTGCCCATGGGAAGGGGACCCAGTCCCCAGGGGTCAGGGAAACAATGTTTCAGAGTGTGCCCCCAGCACCCTCTCCCAAACGGCAGGGCCCAGCCCTGTGCTCGAAAGGCCGGCCTCCCTCCAGCGCTGGAGAGACACGGGCACCTTCTGCAGGAGGTGGAGGGATCCCCTGGGGCTCGCCCAAGGAGCTGCAGGACAGCAGGGGGCGCTCTTCCCAACCAGGGTCACACCCGGGCCAGCTCCAGCCATGTATTCAGAGCAAAGTGTTGGGTCATTCATGGGGTTCCCAGCCACCCAGCGACACCAGAACCTGCCACTCCGGCCAGCCAAGTAGGCCCAGCGCTGGAGTCCGTCCCTGTCACCTGCCTGGAGTCGGAGAGATGGGTCTGCCTCATGCGGCTGCCCCACAGTAACCCCCAAACACACGCAGACCTGCACACCGCTGCGTTGAGCTCTGGCCAGCCGGCAGGCAGCTAGCTACCTTCAGCTACTGCCCAGGGCCCCGGTGCATTGCAGGGCAGAGCAGTGGCACAGTCTAGGCCCTGGGGCTGGACGGGGGGGGGGGGGGGAAAACCCGACAACCAGGGGCAGCTCCCTCCTGCTTTGCTCCTCGCAGAGGAACGGGAGGGGGTGAAGGTGCCTGTCGCGAGCGCTGGCGGAGTGGAGCAGAGCAGAGCAGAGCAGAGCAGAGCAGGGTCATGCTAGTCGCTACGGTTAGCCCACTGCTCGCCAGGCTGGGCAGGGGACGGGGGCTGCAGCCCCTCACTGCATGCAGAGCCCTGGCTGGCTAGTCCTGCTAGAGGAGGAAGGATGAGCAGAGACCCAGACACCAGCTCTGCCCCCCCCCCCCCCCCCCCGGCCCCCCCCCCTGAGGGCCCCCTCGGCGGGCGGGGGGGCCACCTACCTGCGTCCCCCCGCCGGCTGGGGGTGGGGGGGGGGGGGCGAAGGCTCAGACAGTTGGCCTGCCATGGCCAGGCCCATGGTTGGCAGCGCTCAGCCGGGCCGAGCTGGGGCCCAGTGGTTTCTCTCCCCTGCTGTCCCTGGGCCATGTGGAATAGCTGTGGTTTCCAGCCCTCGGCACAGGAATGTCTCCTGACGTACATTCCCTGCAAAGCAGCACAGTGCTCCAGCCAGAGCCACGTGGGCCCCGCCCGAGAGCTTCCAGCGAGCAGGCTGAGACCCCGCGGGGCAGACATGGGAGGGGGCCCCCTGGTCACGAATCCCACAGCCAGGGCCCCTCCGGAGCTGCAGAGCTCCTGCTGCTCCCCCACAATGCAGAGCGGCCACACGACAACACCCAGCCCCGTTCTCTCCACATACCCTTCAGCGAATCCAAGCAAGGACCCTGGCTCCGCCCGCGCTCCCAGGCCAAACCCAGCCACTCCAACGCAGCACAACCCGCCCCACCGCGAGCCCAACGCCGCCAGCCTGCCCCTTGCACTGCTAGTGCACATGCGCTGGTCCAGAGGGTGCAGCCCACGGGGTTACGTTCTCCCGCCGTCACCGCTCCCTTTCTGGGCCTCGTGTCCTAACCACGCACGGCCAGGAGTACATGGGCCCAGGACGGGGGCAGCAGGGTGGGATGGGCAGAAACTTGCACACTGCCGATGCTCTTCCTGGCACTGCCAGGCCCCCCAGAGCCCCCAGCAGGCTAAAGCAGTGCTCCAGAGGGGCCGGCGCATTGGGCGTGGGCTGGAAGGAGGGCAAAGTACCAGTGGCTGAGCTGCTCCATGTCACTGCCCGCCATATGCCCCCACCCCTGGCCAGGACACAGTGCGCTGTTTTAGGAGACTGCGACAGACACGTGCCAGGGCTGGAGAAAGCCCCAAGCCCTGCCTCTGTCCCTGTGCCCGGCGAGCTGTGCCCAGCAGGGAGGAGCAGGGACTAGCTGCCTCCTCACCAGGTGTGGGCTCTGGGCAGATTGGTGGTGGAGGATCCTCTACCTCGTCCACTGCCCCAGAGATCCAGGATGGAGCTGCAGGGGGACCCTCGGCTGAGGAGTCAGTGCTGCCAGCGGGGCCCCAGCTGCCCCCCACTCTCGCTGCTCTGGCAGGGTGGTGACCAAGCTTCCCCAGCCCCCTCTGCTCTGTAACATGAGCCGACTGCACTGAACTTCACTGGAAACAACCACAAACTCCCCCACCACTTCCCCCCAGGACCTTTGAAGTCCACATATGGAAGGGGTTTAGCAGGCTCTGAATAAGGCCTTTATTAAAGCCAGGTTAGCCTCCCGGTTCAGAGCATGACCCTGCCCTCCAGAGAGCACCGCGCATTCCTGCCTCCTCCCCGCCTGCCCCAGCCGGTCCCCTCTC